GGGTGGGTGGGGGACGTTTCAGATGGGGTGTTTCTCAGCTGCTTTGTATTTGAATTTTTGTAATGCTTGCAGTTACAAAATTTTAGTTTAGTTCTGTCCACCGCCCAGAGTCACTTGTTGAGATGGACAGCCATATAAGAATGAATGAATGAATGAATGAATGAATGAATGAATGAATGAATGAATGAATGAGACATATGAAATATATGTTGGGCAACCATGATGGGAATGGGGGAGGAATGGTCCTTGGTCCCCCCGCTACTCCTGAGCCAGCATTGTGGGAGGAAAGCCACGTTAGTTTGTGATAGTCCAAAATTAGGAGGAGTCCGATAGCCCCTGACTAACACATTTTATTCAAAGGGAGAAGATAGATAGAGAAGATGGGTGGGTGGGTAGGTAGATAAAATGAATTGTGTTGAGAATGAGTGATTGGAGCAGGGTTCCCCAGTAATCTTTGTAGCTAAACAGGGATTTGGATCACGGCATCTCCAGCTGGTCACATCCTTTATTCATCGCCCCTCGCTGTTTCTCTGAACTTGCCTGCATAAATAACAGCGGCAAATTTTTAAAAAAGCAAGTCTCCAAATACCTCACTCTCTTTTCTTCTCCAGTAAAGAGTTTGGTGCGGAGTCTGAGCCAGCTGAAAGCTAGCACCTGGCCTGATTTACCGAAGAGCAAGTAGAAAGACCACGTATAACACAAACCCAAGCAGAAATGCAAGTTAAATCTTAACTTGCTGGGTGCCGTGCGACCTTTGATACTCATTTATGACGTTGCTGTTCTGGATTGTAAAGGAGGAAGCAAATGCAGAGAGAAAGTACTTTTTTTTAAAGGTTGCAAGAATCCATGGTAGAGACGGGGTCTGGGTCATTGCCCCCATTTCATTTACATTTGAGGAGCCAAACTTGCTTTTTATTTGCAAGGTTGGGATTAAATAGAGATGAAAAATCAGTCAGCTGCTGGTCCTATTATTCTTAAACCCTGAGAACTAGCACTACTGCGGAATATTAATGTTAACCAGAAAAACAGACTACAGTGGTGTTTCTCAACCTTGGCCACTTTAAGACCTGTGGACTTCAGCTCCCAGAATTCCCCAGCCAGCCTT